TCTAGTCCTGTAATTTTTAGTGAGTCTGGTGTACCCTATAAATAAGGTAAGTACATAGAGTAGAGTAACGATCGAACTTAGCGTCATTTTACATTTTGTACTCATATATTCTCTTGTACTCTTCAGACGTAATTGATCCAAACAGATCTTATTTAGACCTTGTGTCCATTTACAACTTTTAATGATTCAATTGTGTTCTTATTCAATATCTAACTCACATCAAAGGTGGTGTCATGTATTTTTTTTTTCTAATTAACAGTAGGCGTTACCATTCTTATTGCAAATCTTCTTTTTATTTATAGGCTAAGGACCATATTTCTCATTTTTTTTCTTTATCATAGAAGTATGGTGCCCCTTTCTCTTACTAGGTATTGTAAGAACATGCACAATACATAGCTTAACTGAATAGATGATTGGTGTTGAATGTTTGGTTGATATTTACTTGATTTAACCCACCCATAGGGGTATACCAAGTTGGAATTTAATGGTTTTTGAATGTCAATGACCATTAAATTGTTTGGAATTTAATGGATTTTGAATGTCAAACCATTAAATTGTTCAATAGAAACGAGCCAAAAGAATTTAATTAATTATAAATATGTTTCATTCAACTTTGTAAAATTCAATGAGTTGTAGGATTTAAATAAAATGGTAAAGTTGTATAAAAATTAATGTTAATGTGGCAATTTATTAAAAGTTATGAAGATCAGTGGATTATGGATGTTTAAATATCATATCCTTCAAAAAAATTTCATTATAGTGTTGATTTTTTTAAAAGATAAAATGTTTACAGTCTACGGACTATATTTGAAGAAGAAGAGATAAACGTCTATAGTCCATAAATAAAAAGTTTGTTTTTTTTAAAGTTGCATATTTCTTAAAAAATAAAAGTTTAAAAGAGTTGATTTTTTTAATATATTGTAAATCTCTGATGACAAGTAACTTGAATTGACCTTGAGATAAATTTTTCGGAAATTAAGGAATTTCACCACATTTTACAATGTTATTATAAATAATAACCATAATTGTTTTTTGAAAAGTAACCACTCTCTCCAGGATGGCATTCCGGAGCAGTCCAAACGAGCCAAGCCTACTAATGTAACCCAATGTTATATATATGGGGCCTACACCCAAAACCCGGAATAAGCATTTCGAAAACTGAAATTTTGAACGTGTTGCTACCAAAATTTATGACACATATTTTTAAGCCTATCCACCATAGATTCAACAAACCAGGTGAGTTCTACTGTTTAACTTAATTGCATTCTTGTTTACAAATGATTTTTTGTATTTTGAAATGCATAGAACAATTCCAGAATACGAGAAACAAGTCCGAAATAACTTAACTTTTGTAGTTATTTTTAGTTTTAGCCATATAATAACCATATAAGTACCTTCAAATGTGTTACCACCACACCTTAGAGAGTAAATAAGTCTAGATTATCCATTACAGGTGATTCTGAAATGATACTAACAGTCTGAAATATGAAGATCATTTCAGGAATGATAGTCCGGAACGACAATAATAGTCTGAAATACGAAGAACATATTCTTTTTTAATTTTTGTTTATCACATTGTTAAATTAATATTTAAATTGATTTGTGTTAAAGCAATAACTCGTAATTGTCCAAAGATCAATTTATGCGGATGTTGTTAAAAAAAGCGGTTAGGTTTCACAGACGAAGAAATTATTTTCCATCTACATGATCTTTTAGAATTGTGTCCAATAGAGGTAAACTTTAATTAAACAAAAAATGTTATCAATATTTGTTTTTTATGGTACTATATTTAAATATTAAATTTTGTTGGATTTTTTTTTTGCAGATAAAAAAACTTGAATTAGAAAAAAATAAAATAAAACACTAACCACAAAGCGCGCCTATAAATTTAAGAAAGAAATCGGAGAGGGCATTAAATCTTAAATGAAAACAGATAGAACTCCGAAAGATGAGAATATAGGAAGTTTAGACAAACCTATTATTTTAGACTAGTTGCATTTTATAATTTATTTTATGGTTACATTTTATAATGTTTAGTTTTATTTTTGAAACTATTTCACTTTTAAAATACGCTTTTATATATTTTTAATCACAATCCCCGACATCCAGTGAATCGAGTGATGAGGATGCGTTGCCAATATAATATGAAATACTACACCTTGAGGACGATCAACAACGGATTGTTGATACGAGTACGTTAGAAATTATTTGTGATTATCAACATGCGAAATGGAGAATGGTAATACTAGGAATCTCATTACCGCCTTCCGCAGCTGAGGAGCATAGAAAACTAGCGTTGTATAATATGAAAAAGCTGCTTATTACGATGTCTGAAGATATACGACGGTTTGTGAACACATTGGACATCATCGGAAAAACACGTAGGACATGTGCAACAATAGAAGAACGAGTTCAAACGACTGATAATGTGTTCTGTCTAATTGAGACCTACATGAAGTTGTTTGAAAATCATTTAGACACTGCTAATTTGCACCGCACGCAAATTCCCAGTTATCCTGGAAATAAACTCTAATTTTAGATAATGTAATGTCATTATAAACTTAAATGTGTAAAAGAAATGGTATGGTTTTCTTCAATGGCAGTGCTTTTCATTTGCATTAGTTAAACAAACGTTACAAATGATATTACATACTTAAATTGGTTTCCACAAATTTGGAAATCGTAAGGGATATATATTTTGTTCGCGGTCGATAAAATCTTCTCTTATTCTTACAACATCTGTAAGACGGTCCCGTTCTGCCCGAAGCTTATCAATCTCCACATTTGCATCTCGAAACCATTTCTCATCCTGTTTGAGTTTTTTCCCGAGTTTTACCTACACATTTTTCTTTTTCATTTTCTTGTTCTGCTAGATTGTCTGAACGTTGATTGAGTTCCCGACTCATTTCAGAGTCCCTTACGTTGGTTCCTTCGACATCCTTCATAGCTTGCAAAATGTGATTAGGCATTTTATCTAGGAGTAGGAAATGTGGGCCTTCGGAAAATGGGTTAATATCCGAACAAACATAGCAATCTTCTTTTTCACAATACCAAACACCAAATTCAAATGTACTCATTCTTAAGTTTTTACTTTTCTAATGTACTTTATTTATGATAGATGGTTGATGCATATTAATAGTGTGATGTTTTAACCAAGTAATGTTCAGAATGTGTGTTCGGAATATTTGTCCGGAATATGTGTCCATGAGTCCGAAATACATGTGTCAGGAATTTATGTCTTGGATTGTGTGCAATGATGTTATACGATTGATTTGACGTCTGGAATGTCAGTGCAGAATGTGTGCATTGGATTATACGGCCTTCAATGTTCATGACCCATTATAAATAAGAGATTGTCGTTGAAGTTACTTATACAACTCCGGAATGGCAACAAATCAACCCCGGCCAAGGACTTCAGAAGAAGAGATCACGTTCATTCGGTCGTGGGTGACCATTACGGATGTCATTGTTTTCACCGGTCTCCCATATTTGATGTATAAATCACTTTGGGTCCGCTAGAAAAATATGTTTCACTATGAGTTATCTCGTAGAGAGTATCAAATAAAAACTCCATCATTAGCCCACCGTCATCAGATTGCCTCTAGAAATCACAGGTCTGCTCCACCTCTCTAATGGACCTCTCTACTCTTCCTCTCTCTGAAATGACCACCAATTTTGTGGGGGTTCACCTCTTTCCGACGAAATTGCCATTTCAATCATTATACATCCAAACACCCATACATACGCCAGAAACCCTTGTTCTTCACCTCGTGCCACCTCAAGGGACATAAACTTCAACATCCCACAAATCGGCGCCACCTCATCATCCCATTGCATACCACCAAATCATTAATGTTCACACCAATCATCAATGTTCACACCACCAAAATCATCAATGTTCACACCACCAAAATCACCAATCTTCGCACCACGTTTGTCAATCATAACATTTCGGCCTTTGATGTCACAATCTTCGCACCACCAAAATTTTTAGGTATACAAGAGAGATTTTTAGATAAATCGAGGGTTAGAGTACCTTCATTCGAGAGTTGTGATGAAAGTACTCTAACCCTCGATTTCTCTAAATATCTCTGGTGTACCTAAAAATTTCCAAAATTCTTCAACCTGCTACCATTTTTTCCATTTATTTCGCCAATAATAGAACCAATATGCATGTACTGCAACAGAAGATTATATATCATCTTGTTATCTTTTTTAATAACATCAGACTCGTTGTACTCACGACATAAGGACTACTCAAAGTAAACAATAATTATTCTTACCTTCGAAAGCTTTCAGCTTGCATAAACTCCATCTAGTCCACCCTATATGTTGATTTTCTTGGAAAAAAAAAAGACATTCCGTGTGAAGGAATTTTTTGAGGGTCGAGTTTTGTTGGTTGATTTGAGGGGTTTGTGGTTTGTATATATAGTGTTTGGACCAGCATATACAGTTAAACAACAACTTTATTATCATATTAATAACAAACACATAATAAATAAATATAAAAAAACATTAATACGGTGTTTTCATGTTTGACTGACAGGGATGAAAATCATAACCAAAGAATACTACAGGGACCTTACGAGTATGAAACAAAAGTTGGGGACCAATAATATAATTTTGTTAAAACCAAAGGGTCTATTTCATTAATTTATCCTCTCACCGCTTCTCTTCCTTGCTGTCATTATGGTTCTTTTATAATTTCTGATCATGACTTCACAAAAACAAGTAGACCATGTATATTCTTATTTAATAAGTGGATAAGGAAAGCTATACTTTATGATAAATAAACTGAGCAAAGCCATGTGAGGCAACACATAAGTAGGCCCCTGAAACTTAACTATCTATCCTCCTGATCAGATTCCCTATTTGCCGGGGGGTGCTTCAAGTACGTACATTACCCTATAAATACAAGTTTACCAAACCAGTTCTTCACTACACCTGTATCCTGTCATTCTTTCAAGAGCATAGTCATCTTCATTCTCCAGTCCAAAGATATGACTAATTTTAGGCTGCATTCTTTAGTTGCTAATGCAAAACAAATGATCAGACTGCACAACAAACACCAACCAGACGTTCCTAGAGGATATTTGGCTGTGTACGTTGGAGAAATCCAAAAGAAGCGATTTGTGGTTCCTTTATCTTACTTGGATCAACCATTGTTTCAAGATTTGCTACGTAGGTCAGAGGAAGAATATGGGTTCAACTATCCGATGGGAGGACTTACCATTCCATGCCAAGAAAAGGCCTTTATTGATCTCACCGCCCTATTACAAATTTCATAGTTTCAGGACAAAGATTTGTCATCCTCCTACATTTTTCGCACCAAGTGTTCGTTCAATCTTTTTTATGATCAGATGTAATAGGCTGGTTGTAAATTCTTTTCAAATTTGCCATAGGCTATCATTGATTTCTTTTTGCCGGTAACGGTATACCACTGGTCAAATTTCCATGTGACACGTGCCTTGTAAAAAAACATTAGCTAAATACAATGTTTTTAGTGTAGTTTTCAGTTATTCCGATTTTCACCAACATGCTACCGCAACGATATCTAATTTTTACAAGGTCGTGTAAATGGTGTAATAAGGGAAACGTTACATGTAAAGTGTAAAACAGTCATACATTTATTTATTCATTGATAGACACTACTTCAAAAAAGATCTTCGAGTTTCAGAAGTGTGCACACGGGAGGATATAAGAGAAGACGGTTCAAAAAGTTCTAATACTAAGAATAGTACTAACAGAATTCAAAGGCATAAGTCACTGCTAGAAAAACAGACTTTTAGTGACTGATAAATTCGTCAATATCTTCAATTCCTAAATCATTTAGTAACAGATAGCGCCGGATTTGATCCGTCGCTAAATACATTGACGCAAAAATACCAAAACACCTGCACCCTGTTTATAATACCAAAACAGGGGAAACAAACTATGAAACTAAATCAAGGAAACCTTCCTAAAATGCCCTTCAGTCTGATTTTCTAAATTACTCTGACAAGGTCAAGCTTTTGTTAATTATAACAAGAGTAGAAAACTGAGAAACATAACTATATGTATATCAACAATAGATTACCATACACTAGGTAGTTAAATTGTAAAAGATAGTCTATAAAATAAACTTGAAATACAAATCTAGTTTTAAATTTATAAAAACGAACATACCAAACCGAGACTATCTACAATAGACAGTGTACCTAATCATGAATAACATAACTTAGGTAAGTAAGGTGCGGAGATGTACTACCATTGTGAAATCTAATTATTAATCCACCTGAAAGGAAAGCATATAAAAGGGAGTGTATGATTAGTGTCACTCAAATAAACAAACAAATAAATAAGCATGGTTGACTATATGGAAAACATATCTTAAGGTATTCATATCTGGACTTAATCATTCCTTATTCTATGGAGGATTTCTATTATGTTCAATCGATATTGGTATGTTGTTTACCGATAAAGTAACTAATTCAATTTCCATATCATTAATCCTATGTCTCTAAGTTATCTACCAGCATTGATAGTTTTCGTAGATCCATTATATTAATTCGTATTATGTAAGACTAAATTGTCCGTCCCATGACCTTTCAAAATGCCTATGTTAATAGTACAATCGTGAATATTAAATCAAGATTCTTATGTTTAACCTAAGGGTTCCTCCTCCGGTCACCGGTCACCATTGCCTACCTCATTAACTCAAATTCCGATCGCTCTAATGTTAGCAAAACAATATGATACAAGAAACATAATCTAAAATCAATTTAAATTATGAGACTCGATTACATAGACATAAAATTCACGATATTAATAATCATGGATCTTTAATCAAGCAAACATAATAGATTAAACAATTTCTTAATATCCAAATATAAATCAACAATAGAATTAGGGTTTCATAAATATCAAATACTCATAAAGGGTTTGATCTCAAATCTCAACAAGAACATTTAAGAAATTAAAGAGTTGACTAATTATAGACAAAAAAAAGTAAACAAATTGATAACCTGATGATTCTTCTCTTGATCTTCATATTTTTACTCCATATCAGCCTTTCGAATGATCTCGCCTTAGGTCCCTCAAAACAGCATTTCTTGGTCGTTTCCCTTCATCAATTTTGATGTATTTTTTGTGATATGATGTGTCTATATGCTTTTGGACAAAATTAGGGCTTTATTTATAGCTTTTCTAAATGACTCGAAATCGTGACGCAATCTGAAAATTGTGACGTGAAATTATAAATTTGGTAATTATTTTCAGAATCATCTACTTTCTTTGCATGCTAATCTCCAACTATTTTTCTTGCTCAATACTTCACTAAATATGCTCAATGAGGGTTTTAAGTCCGTACGTTACAATGAAAGTAAGTAATAATGTTTTTTTTAAAATACATTGATGTAAACGAGAAAAAAACATTAATTGTCCTTTTTAATGATTTTGTGCAGATCTAATGGAAATAAATTTTATTATAAAAACAACTGTACCTTGGTCCCTGGGTGGCGAACAATACACTCTAACTAACCTTTTGTCACACCCCATCCGGCGGTGGAATCATGGGTTGTGCGATGTTGTGATGGTGGTACACAATTATTGTATATATTGAACAACACACAAAAGATATAATGTAATCATTATTTTTGTTTATTCTATAAAAGGGGTTACATCATCGTTCGTAGTACACACATATCCTAACGATGCTAAACAATAAGAGAACAAATAGGACTTCCAGACACTTCCTTCACCTTGTTATATCTCCAAAACTCCTCATCTTCCTGAGAATATATGTGGTTTGAAAACGTCAATATAATGTTGGTTAATTCACAACTTTTTGTTGTTTTATACTTAAATTAGTTTTATATTTAAGATTTTCGATGAAAATCTTTATAGGATATATTACTCTTTCGTATTATTCTATTATTTTTCGTTAAAGAGTTTTAGTTCTTTTAGTTTGTTACATACTATTACTACTTCAAGGCGTTCCCCTCTATGTAGTTTATTTTATTAAGGTTGGCCGAGCATTGTTAAAATGAGTTCCTATAATCGAGTTTTTGACTAGATATTTACGATGCAGAACGCTTCATTGGACATTGTAATGTAGTTTGGAAAGTTATGTATGTTGTGACTTTATCTTAAGGGGTTGTAGCTAGATGGGTTATGAGCACTACATCAATCCTATGGTGTACATGCAAACCCTAAAGCTTTTGGATCTAGTTTGTCTAATGAACATGCAATAATCATCCAAAGCTCATAAACCCTAATTCTAGCATACAATAATCGATATTATCATAATAAAATGGTATAGATGTTACCTTGATTGTTATGTAGCAATAACAATCTCAATTCCTCTTGATCTTGACCTTTGAAAGCTTAGTGTCTCAAATGTTGCACCTCTAATGGAGTCACAAACACCATGAGCAACAAGATGAACAAGGAGAAGTAGGAGAAGGCACAAAAACGTCCAAGAACCCTCAGGGATCACTTAGCCACGTTTTTGGGGCATGAGGGGTTCCTTATATAGTTAGGCTATTAGGGTTATCAAACAGGGAAACCCTAATTTGACTGCTTAAGCTCCAAGCAGCCCATGGACTCCCTCCTTAGAAGCCTAGGACGAATTCTAATGGGTTTCCCCATAGATTTCGTCCACTCCAACTTCTATGGAGTCCATTAGCCCATTTATGCAATTATCTTATAATTACAATATCAGTCCCCCAAGTTTAATTAATCTCTTTTAGCTACAGAATTAATTCTTATTAATTCTTGACTAATATTAATTAAACAATATGATTTCTCTTTTAATATATTATTCATATAATATATTAATAAATCATAATTAATCCTTTTTCTCCTTAATTCATCCTATCAGTTGTTATGGTGAAGGAAACCCAAAAGGACCATGCTCACAATCGGGTCAAGTACATACCAAAATAGTTATGAGCTTAGACACCTAATCCAACAGTCTCCCACTTGGATAAGTCTAATAACTATATTGCGTATGACTTCGGAACCTGATCAACAATCGTAGCTTTCAAAAGCCGCTGTCGAACTCTGATCATATTAGAAACGAGTCCTTTAGATAAGGGATCATATATTCCTCCATTCTAGATATCGTATGAACTGAGACATGGATTTTAATCATACTCTCTATTCATGTGTTGTTTCCCGATTTCTGATTTCTGATTTATGACGACTGATAACAGACTACATTAGTGTAAGAATACCAAATTCTTCCCACTATTAGAATATGTTTGACTCTAACATTTTATGCAATGATCCTTTTGTAATCTTATTGCACAAAAGTCACCAAGACTTTGCCAATGAAATTACAAAGTGCTCTATTGGGAATTGTTACAAGACAATTCCATAGATGTGAAGTCTCACATTCAAAGTACATTCCTTTGAACATCCTTCTTACATAAAAGTTTCTAATCTAGACATAAATTCTTAACGCCCAACTCCCAATATGGAAACATTTCCATATTTGCGATATGACAACTTATTGTGAATAGAGTCTTATCTATTCATAATAATGTCAATATGGTTCATTCATTACTATACTTCCAACAGCTCACAAGCGACCAATCCTTAGCGAACCTTATATTGTCGTTGATAGTTGCTCAACTATTTTAGTCAAACCGATTCTAGTCCCTTTTCCCTCTTAATGCCCTAGGCATTTGGAAAATTTTAGAACGGTCAAATATTACAGCATATGCAATGTATCCTATACCCGAAGCATATGAGACACGATTCACAGCGAAAAAATGTGATACTTTACCAGTTTCTTGCTATAATACTGCCATATATAGAATGCCCCTATGTTAAACTTTTTCAACATAACATTCATATATGTCTTTTGACTAAATTAAATCAAAATTTCTCGATCTAAGCCTTTAGATTTGAAATGAAGTATAATATTCTCTCCCTTAATTATAGCAAAACAACTATTCAACCTTTGCAACTTGGCGAATTGAAACTTTGTTTTCTATTATTAATATTGCTAACTTGCAACAATTAAATTAATAATCATGCTCCCACTAACATGATAATTATCTCCATACCAGCATAACACTTATGCTCTCACTAGCTTTAACATGTATTCAGAAAATAGTTGGACTTCTAGAAATCAATACTTATTGACTTCCAAAGTTCATATTTCTAATACGAGATGCTTCAATAAACCTTTATCAAGCTTCTCAAACTCATACACCTTTCCTTAGAAAGATCATATGTGTGTTTAAACCATTTTAAAACTTATAGGAATAAGTCTTAAATGTTCAAACTAATTTCCAAATCT